TTTGAGCTCCTTTTAGTCCCACATCAGGGAACTCAAGTTCCCTAGAGGTCCTTATATTCAGTTGGTCACCTTTATTAATGATTAGGTATTAGACCATTTGGAATGAGAATTGAAGTTTGGGCCACTAATTGTGTAGATTAGGCTTTGTGATAATTATACCATAATATTAATAGAATATTAATATTAATTAATCAAGACAAGGGCACTTGGGGCCTAAGAAGTTAAAATTAATCAGAGTTCATTAATTTTAATTTCGAATTAAGTTTTTAATTAAATTAATTACAAAACGTTTTGATTAATAGACACAACTGTTTGGAAAGACTTGTGTGGTTTTAGATACATCCAAAATGTATTTGAAAAGATATGAAATAGTCTATATAAGTGAAGACTCTCAGTGCCATCATATATCATCTTTTTCCTTTCTATCTCTCCCATACAAAACCTTACACAAAGCAATTTTCCAGAATTCTATAATCTAGTGCAGGTTGTAGATTAGATAGTTGTATATTGGTCAAGCAGACGTAGTAAAACCACAAGCACTTAGAAATATTGTTCGAAGGATATAGCTTTTGCGCTAGCCTCTATCTATGATTCAGTCAAGTTAGTACCATTTTAATTTCTATATTTATTTATGTTATTTTATTTTGTATTGCATGTATTTTTCATTAATAAAGTTTTAGAATTTCAAGTTCTGTTATTTTTATTTATTTCTATATTGTTCTCCAATAAACATTCATTTTTTAGTTAACTAAAAATAAAATGTTTATTATATCGATCTTAATTTTTTTATAATCACGAGTGGGAGAATTTAAATGTAGAATTTCTTGTTAATATTAAAAAGTGAAATCTCATCATTGAATTGTTAACATCTCCTACTGGAAGGTCTCATGATGGAATTACGTTTAACAAATGGACAAGCACCACATCCAAGAATCCAAATATGGAGTCAATCCTATGTAAGGACAAAATACAATTTTTCCAATCACTCGATCACATCAATTTATTCCCCAAATTTGTGTTTCGCTTATGTGCCAATTTTGCAATGACTTTTTGGTCGATCATATCAATTTATTCCCCAAATTTGTGTTTGGCTTATGTGCCAATTTTGCAATGACTTTTTGACCGTACGGGGGCCATGCAATTTACGTTAGGTTGTAATAAATTATTATTTTTCTAAATCTCGTCCTAAAATCTGCCTCATAGTAATAGTCAATAAACAATAAAATAAAAAATAAAATATTTCTCCAAAGTATGCATTGAAACTTTAAGAAATTATGTGTCTTTGTTTTTCTAATATTGCATCTAAGAATTGGCATGTTCAACTACTAAAGTGTCTCTTCTCGTACACCTGTATATATGATAACATCGTTATAGTTATAAAATTGGTTTGATCCCGATATTATATAGAAGTTTTATGGTAGACTGACGGTTACATTGAGTGGGACAACGAAAACAACAACAAACGAACCATCACGAAAAATTTACTGACGTGGCAAGACATCATGGGCCATCAAGTACCCAATAATCTAATTACCTTAATCTTACGACACAATTATCACTAACTCTCAAGTCTCGAGAATTTGATTGCATTCAGACGAAAACCTGACTAGAAATTGTGTCTTGATGGCGAAAAATGCTTACATGTAACAGGTAAATAATAGTAACAATCGAGAATGATAATATTTACATGTATTATTAGTGTCTCATTTCAATAATACGCATTCACGTATAGTTTTTCTTCACTTGGAATAACTTTATTACATAGGGACAAATACGGAACCAGAAGGTCCAAGATTCCACACCTGAAATTTGAAGTTACAAATGGCGTACAAGTCATTTTGAGCGCTCCAATCCAAACAAAATCTCTTTTTCCCTTTCATTTTCTTAAACCTTTCTCTCCTCTCCACCCTCTCTCTCTCTCCTTCTCTCTCCTCACTCTTGCCAATTGGAGAACTGCAAGCTTCTCTCTGCTCGATCATCCGGCTCCTGAATCGCTTCCGACTTTTAGTTTCAAGTGATCATCAACTCTATTTTCTTCTCTAAACTGAAGAAGTCTCTGTTTTTTTATGTATAACTTTCGTCACTAATTTTCTTGAAGTTCTTGATCGGATCAAACTTTTTTTCCACCATAGTTGATTTATGCATGCTTGATTTCGCTTTCTCTTCAACCTGTAAATACATTTGTTGCTCGATTTTTCGCTTTGGATTAAGTTTGTTAACGATATTCTGAAATCGGATCAACCGAGTTTTCTAATTGAATTTTATTAAAAAAAATTGAGCAAAAATTTGTGTGTATGGTTAAAATTTTCACTCGCTTTGTTCATTTACTGAGGTAATATTTGATTATTTCTTACTGCCTGGTGGTTGCTAAGATTTTGAGGTCAGCAGTTCTTGACTAAACTTCCTGAAGACGACTTGAAGAGAAGGAAAAGAGCGTATTAAGGTAAATATATTTTTCTTCCTATATTTGATTGTCAGCTGGACTTACTGGTTAAAAGCGGCAATTACGTAATTCTATTAGTATTCTGAGGGTGGATATGGAAAAAAAAAAAGTATTAATCTGGTTTTTTCTACTTTTATTTATTCTACCATTCGTTGACTTTTTTTCAAAAAAATTTACTAATAATTTTTTTTAACCAACGATATTAGCTAGACTAAGAGGAGGGGTAGGCTAAGCATCACAATGGGTTAGTAATAATATGGTTTAAATTCGTTTTGGTGAGAATCAAACCTAAGACTTCTCGCTTACAAGTAAAGACTAGACTAAGTGTAAAAAATTTACTATTATCAAGGAGGGAGATAGTTCGAAATTATTATAATATTAATAAATTGAGAGAGGGGGACTAGGAATATATTTGTAGAAATTCAACACCCTATTCATTAGGTCATAAGACATTGGACACATACATTCTAGCATTTGTTGACAATTGTCTAGCTCTTAGTTAAATGGGCAGGAAATAAACAAAAAGAAACAACTCATTTTTTACAAGGATCTTCGCCAAATCCTCTTTGTGGGGATCCAAAGGATCAAGCAATCACGATTGTTCATCGTATATCGTAAGATTAATTTTCGTTAGATACTATTTATATTCAATTTTAAATTTTAAATTTCAAATAATTTCTGACCACACGATATATGATGAACGCCCATGATTGCTTGATCCCCTAGATCCCCACAAAAGGATTCGGCGAGGATCCTTTTCCTCTTTTCTAGATCCCAAATAGGCTTTATAGGGGATTTACCTCTTTTTTTTAAGATGACGTGGCCTCAGATTTTGGACTTTTACTAATTTTGATTTTTTTTTTTGGCAAATTTTACTAATTTTGATTCAATAAAACATTTTTAAAAGTAGCCCTTTTTTTTTTTTTTTTCTAATTCTTTAGAGATTAGTGCACTCATCCTCTTCACTCAAGTTTATTCCTCCACCGTCCTAGTATAAATATATTATTGTATAAAAAAACTGATGCCGCGCAGGATTGAAAATCAGTCTAAAGCGGATTCAGATTTGGTTAGTTGGTTGGAAATTCCTGGTAGGTAAAGCTGTTGGTTTAGCTTTGTACATGCTTCCTAAAGTAGCTATGGCAAAGGACCATGCTAGTTTCCATTACCATGTATAGATTCATGGACCGGGTTGTCGTGAATCCTGTTTCATAGAGCAAGTTGTTGTGAATCCTGTTTCATAGAGTGGGTTGTCGTGAATCCTATTTCACCTAAGTCTTTCTCATGTGAACTAAACTAAACTAGAATGTATAATCTATTGCTTTTCTTATGATAATTTTACAGTGAGAATGGAGCGAGGATAAAAAATGAGTAAGAAGTCCATGCCTGGGTAAACATACGTACAAACCTCATTAAGTTGAGGTTTCTTAGAATAAACAAAGTTAACGACCAGAAATGTTAAAGGTCAATTGTCTATTTAACTCTCATGCCGAATGCTTTTAACACTTGAGATTATCTATTTACATCTTATGCTTCTAAATGATTTAAAAGGGAAGTATTTTTTTTGCGATTCAGACTTCAAGCTGGAGATGGATACAGCCTCATCATAACTCACATCTATTGGGGAAGCTTAGAAATTGAAGCGATGCCAAATCACCGCGTGAGGGAGTCGATTAAGTCCTTATTTGGAAGTCACATTAATTCACAGAATCATGAAGAGCTGCAAGGAACTAAAATCGGTAAGTTTTCTACTAACATTCTTCATTAGGCTTTGAGATGGCATTGCAGGAACTATACAATGCAATTGGGATAAACTTTGCTATGGTTACATATTTCGCTCTTGCATCTTACATGATCGATCAAATGGAAATTTAAGGAAGTTTTCTGTTTTTACTGCAGATATTGAGGAGAAGGTGAATAAAATATTGAAGATCCTGAAGAAAAAGATGACACCTCCGTCGAGAACTCCAAAAAGGAACCACTTCCGGAGCTAATTCAGGATTTCCACAAAGAGTGCCAATCACTCTATGCACAATATGATCACCGAACCTGAGTGCTGAAGAAAGTTTGGAGCAAACAAGAAAAGGACAGCAGCTCTTCATCAAGTTCAGACACAGATTCCAGACATTCTTCAAATGACAGAAGCAGTAAAAATGGAGTGCTGGAAAGTGACTTTCAGAAAATCACTGATGGGATTAAGCATGAACTTGAATTGGCGCATCAAGAAGTTGCTGACCTGAACAGGAGACTGACAGCAACAAGTGAAGAGAAGGAAGCTTTAAGCTCAGAATGTGCGGCGGCTTTGACCAAGATAGAAGAAACGAAGAATATTGTCATTGACTTGAAGGCTGACGCCTAAAAGTTAGATGCTGAAAAATCACAAATTTTGGCCGAGAATAGTGAACTTAAACAAAAACTGGAAGCTGGTGAAAAGATAGAAGCTGAACTGAATCAAAAAGTGGAAGATCTGGAAAGAGAGAGAGATAACTTGATTAAGGAGAAAGAGACCGCTCTGAGAACGATTGAAGGTGGAGAAAATGTAACAGCAGAATTAAGAACCATGGTTGATCAGCTGAAAGATGAAAAAGTAACCCTTGAGCAAGAACTGGAATCTGTTCGAGGGGAAGTTATCCATATGAAGCAGCATCTGCAATCTGCGGAGCAGAAGGTATCAGATCTAAGCCACAATCTGAAAGCCAAGGAGGAAGAAACCTTGAAAATTGTGGAGATCTCAACTGAGATTCAGCAGGCACAGAATGTGATACAAGAACTCACAACTGCATCTAGTCAGCTAAAGGAGAAATTGGGCCAGAGGGAAGTGGAATATTCAACTCTTTCTGAGATGCATGAGCTGCATGAGAAGAAGACATTGGCTCAAATTACGGGATTAGAGGCTGCTGTGGCAGAGCTGGAATTGGAAATGGAATCTTTGAGAGCTCAGAAAAGAGAGATGGAAGTGAAAATTGAGAGCACAGAAACTGAAGTAAAACAACTGGGAGAGGTAAATGCAGGACAACAAGTCCGAATTTCAGTACTTGAGTCAGTATCAAAAGAGAGAAGCTGAGCTTTCTTCTCTCACGAAAAAACATGAGGATAGCAGTAGTGAATCTATTCATCTGAAGGAGCAATTGGATCAGAAGGAAAAGGAATATTCAACTCTGTCTGAGAAGCATGAGCTGCATGAGAGTAAAACGTCAGCTGAAATCATCGGATCAGAGGCTCTTGTGACAGGACTGAAACTGGAGCTGGAGTCTTTGCGAGGTCACAAAAGAGATACAGAAATTGAGATTGAGAACAAAGAAACTCATTACAAGCCCAAATTTCAGAACTTGAAGAGAAGATAAGAACTAAAAGCCTTGAGAGTGACCAGTTGAGACAGAAATTGTGGAGCTAAAGGATCAAATTGTTGAATTTGAGAAGAGACTAATTGGAAAATGAAAAGGTTGATTTAGAGAGCAAAATCGCTGATCATCAAAGACTGCTGAATGAACAGGAGGAGATATGCAGCAAGTTAAAGGAGGAATGTATACAGCTGAAGAGTCAGTTCCAGGACACTAAGGTCAATTGCGACGCTGCAGAAAGGAAAGTCGAGCAAGTGGCAGAAGATTTCAGTAAAAAAATTGAATCCAAAGATGAGATGATAGCTGATTTGGAGCAAGAGGTTGAATATCTGAAACGAGATCTAGAAGAAAAAGGGTACGAGCTTAGTTCTTTGGTTGAAAGCTCCCGCAATATTGAAGTTAAGCTCCGCCTGTCAAACCAGAAGCTCCGGGTTACAGAGCAGGTATTGACCGAGAAAGAAGAGAGCTTCAAAAAGGCTGAACTGAAATTCCTGGAAGAACAGAGAGCACTTGAAGACAGGATTGCTAGGTTGTCTGGTGTAATCACTGCAAACAATGAAGCCTAACAAAGAAACATCACACTCGTTTCAGAAAATGTGAACAGTTCTTTGAGCGGAATTGAATCTGTGATCAATAAATTTGTGGACGACTATGCATAGTATGAGACTTGCATTCTGGAAACGTCACAGCAGCTTCACATTGCAAAGAACTGGGTTGCGGAAACAAATAATGAGAGGGAGAAGTTGAAGAGGGAGGTGGAAGACCTAATCAAACAACTGAGAGATAAGAAAGAAGAAGCGTTCATGCTTGGGGAGCAGGTCGAGAGGATGCGGGCAAAGGCAAGGAAGAAGTGGAGAAGGGGAGTCTGATCAAAGCCGTGAGCCAACTTGAGAAGAAAGCGGCGGACTTGGAGAAGATGGTGGAGGAGAAAAAGGAGGGCATGCTGGGATTAGGAGAGGAGAAAAGGGAAGCCATAAGACAGTTGTGCATTTGGATCGAGTATCACCAAAGCCGGTACGATCATGTCAAGGAAGTTCTCTTGAAGACAACTCCTGCAAGAGGCCAGGGGAGGGCCTCTTCGTCTCAGCCTTGATCAAAATTTTTTTTCTTCGATTGCAATTTGCAACACGACAATATTTAGTCCTTTTGCATCATGCATTGTTGTCATGGATTCCATTTTTTGTGTTTCTTTTGAAGGCTAGTGTTTATAAAGCATTTAGGTAGGTCACGAAAAGTGTCAGTATGCCAGGCATGTATAAAATTATGCAGATGGTTCATTCTTTGTTAAACTCATTCCTGTCGAATGTCAGATGTTATTGGTTCGTACGAGAAATAAGAGTTTCGAATTCATAATCACGAACAGCCAGCTGATTATACAGCATCGGTTTTAGTTTGCCAAACTGATTCGCACGAAAATGCACGCAGTATACAAAGGGCAAAAGAGAGATGATATTCACACATCTCAAATTACTTCTCCCATACCCTTTTAATTTTTTTAACATTTTCTACACACCACTAACACTTAATAGAAAAATATTAAAAAATTAAAAAGGTGTGAGAGAAGTAATTCAGGGTGCGTGAATATAATCTCTCAAGGCAAAATTACTCGTATTCTCTAGATATCAATCGGGCGTGCATACATCATTTCCTTGAAAGATAATAGGTCTCTGTTTCTAAACTTCCTCCTACAATTATTAAAAAATACTGACACTATACCTTCTCCTACGCAGTCCATTCCCGCTCACTTCCGGATTTAGAACAAAAGTTTAACATGTGGCTCAATGTTCTCTTTGCTTTTTAGTCAGATATCCTCATCTCAACTCCAAGAACGTCCTTCACTACCTCATATGTGACAAAAGCAATTGCTATGGACGGCACCACCTAAAAGAACAACAAATGTGTTTTTAAGGTTTAGATAGAACATAAGTACGCGAAGATATGCTAAGATTGTAATATCAATTACAAGATAATGCCTTTAATCACTGACCTTAACAGAGTTTGGGACCAAACCCTTGTACAGCGCTCCAAACCCCTCATGACGGACCGTTTTCCTGAAGGCATCAACCATCCCAGTATATTCCAGGGATGCCCTACTCTTCCCATCACCAACGACAACCGAAGCAGCATCCTTCCAGCCTACCATCTGCATTCTTCTCCGGATGACATCGAGAGGGTAAGCAACTGTCTGGCCAACAGTCCCAGCAGCAGCCCCACATGCAAGCCTCGTAGTTACACTCAACTCAGAGTCCTGGACTAGTCCAAAAGGTCTACTTTTGATCAACCAGTCTTTCAGAGATTCATAAACAGCAAAATTGAGACCAACATAAGGTACCTGTAAAAAAATTAGAAAACACTTAAGACATCTCATACAAAAATGCGAATAAAACCTTTCCTCCCACAATATTACCCAATAAAAGTATCCCATCAGAACTATAACTCATCATCTACACTGAACACAGTGCAGAATACGACAACGGAAATGTTAATGAATGCACCGACGATTTGATAGAGGATTCTATTTATTTTAGCACTATAGAGAATACAGAAATAAAAAAACACTTCACTTACAACTCCTATGACAGAAGGCAGCCAGCCTCTGTACAGAGCCCGGGGTCCTTCTTCCCTAAAGACAGTAGAGAGAGCATGATATATTCCCCTATATTGCTGAGGAGACATGTCTGTCTGAAGAAATAAAGTTCAAACAAATTTAAGCCATTAAAGTGAATTTGTAATAATAATTGCCTCGATAATAGGAAGAAATATCCAAAATATACCTGGACAGTCAGACGACCTCGTACCATGTCCATTGGGTAAGTTGCTGACATGGCAATAATTCCAGCACATGCACCAGCTCCAAGGCGTAATAGAGGTGTGAGTTGAGCATCTTCTGAAGAGATGAATAACAAATATCACTCTAGCAATCCATCGAAGCCACAATTTTCATAATTAATTATGTTTCCTCCCAAAATTGGATCTATAAGACATACGTTTTACATGAGGGAAGAACATGGCCACAGAAAGCACACAACTGATTCAAAGTTAACCAAAGAAACTCATTGTCAATCAGATATCAGATGACAAACACAGACTGAATGGACTCAACCCAGGAAATCAAAAGGATTAATTTACGTGCTTCTCTAGGTGGAAAACTACAACCACAAAAGGGAATGGTTTGAAACCTTTGATAATCCAAGCATAAATCAATACAAATAAGACACTACCTCGCAACATACTACCATTTAACATTAGATATCATAACCCAAATTGTATAAAAGCACACAAACAATAAATTGAACTTCCTAACCCCTATCAAGACTGACAGTAAAGAGCATTCAAGTTATCATCGACAAGCTACAAAATGGGTAACTGGCAGTTGCCTAGAACTGTGAAAATTAGTTTGAATTGATTCATTCCAAATGAAGCCACCTATAATTTCATGGTAATTGACTTTGCATATGAAATAGGCATGAGGTGGTCATACCATTTCCAGTTTGCTGTCGGTAGAACCATAGAATACCCCTATTCAGACAAAGTACATGAAGGCGAATAAGTTATCAAAATGAAGCTGACAGGAAACGAATATGGACATTTAAGTACAAAAAGCTTATTGGGGGGAGGGGAACAATAAACGTATGAAGATAAGAGGTAATACAAATCAGTACACATAATAAAAAATTGTGGGGGTTCTGGGGAACTGGGACAGGGAGAAGCATACTTTGATGCTTCGTCGTAGCTAAAGAACTTGACTGCTGAATTTGGGACTATGCGAGCACAATTAGTTCCATTGCCTTTAAACAAGCCTCTAAAACCCTCAGTTCTCCATATGTACTTCAAGCCCTGAATTGTCCCATTGTATTTAATACTATGAGGATTTTGAACCTGCATTTATCGAAAAGCAAATCCAATTTAGTTTGACACAATATAAAATGCATAATGCTTAGGTCCTGACGAGCCACCAACACCACATACACAGCCCCCGGTACAACCAAAAAGAGAGTATTGATTAACATGCATTCCATTACAGTGATAAAGGTTTCATAAACACAGTATTGATTACGGATCCAAATGGTACATCTCCAAATTTCCTGTATGTGCAAATAAGAGAAATACCTGCAGCAAAATTTTTAATCTTTCCAATGGAGCGACAGCAGTTCGTGACCTGCAGCAGGTAGTCAATACCAGATAGAGAAGCGTAAGGTTTGAAGTTCACGCACATCACTCTTGTTATATGTAACACAACAAACATTACAACAATGCCTATGGACAACTACTTTCATGCATAACAGTAACACATAACTATTTGTTCTTATCACCCAATGATCTAAAACCTATTTACAATGAAATAACAACTCCGACAACAAGAAATGGGTGCTTCCAGTTAAGCAAACAGCATAGAGATCATAAAACATACAATCTTCACCCATCAAGATCCCATTTCCTCCTCATGTGCGCCATCCATTTCCCACAAGTATTTTCGTCCTGAAATGCATCGCCATGCAGTGATCGAGCCTCAAGACATACATAATTCCTTACCATATACTTCCAACAAACATTGAAATTCAACCACACCATTGGTAATTACTGCATTTATATGAAATTCCAGTAAGAATAAACAATACAATGAAAACTAATTAAGGTTTTCCTTTTCCGCGCAATCAAACATTAACGAAACGAAAAAAAATATAGTCCAATAATTCATGCCACAAATTCAAGAAAATCATAGAAAAAAAAATTGCTTGAAAACGAAACCTAAAGTAAATTCAGCATAAAAACAAATAAAAGCAAAAGGGGTAAAGCAAAGAAATCATATAAAGAAAATAAAAAAGTAGAAAAATAAAATACAGATTTACTACGAACTCACACTCCACCGGCGACTCCTCCGGCGACGAGGGACTTGGCGATGCTAAGCAAAGCATGGCCGGTCGGCGCCTTCACTCCTTCGCTGGCGAGCTTCGCCTCCTCGGCCAGGTTTACAATCGTCGACACTGCAGAATCACTCGTCCTCTTCACGTCCTCCGACGCCATTAAACCCCACGCACAAACAGACACACAGAGAACCTCGACGGCTGGCCGGAACCTTAGGACTCCCGGACCAATCCGCCGCCGATAGGATCGAGGAGTTAGTTATTCCGGCAATTTATGGGCAGTTATGCGGCCGCATGGGTAGGGAAAGGAGGCGTGGCGTTGGGTAGGGGAACGCGAGTGGAGAATATAGAGCCGTTGTCACTATAAACCTGCACCTTTTTCCTTTTTCTTTTTAATTTTTTTTATATTTGATATTTTTGTGGAAAAGATATAGGATTTTCGGGATGTGATATTTTTGGTGGGTGTTTATTTGGGAAAAAGAAATTTGTTTTACAGCTGTACGTCGCCGCGTTTTACTAGAAGACGGGTATGTCTTGTTTGTTGGTGGTAACGGTAACTCATGGGCTAGCTTGTAACTGTCATAAATCAAATACATACTCTCTTCTTTTCGGTTGGGTGAGCAATCATGTAATAATGGAATATCAAACTCGTTATTCACACGAGTTGAATCTAATATTTGATTGAGATTAATCTCAATTATTAGTTTATAAAGACAAATTCATTGAGTCATTATCTCTCTCTCGTCTCATTCTATTCATTCTATCTTATTTCTCTCAACTCGTAAAATTACACCAAAATTTAGACTCATATTTACTTAAATATCGGCTAAAGTTGGGAGAGCCCAAAAGATTTGGCCTAACAAAAAAAAGTCCAATCTAATTTTTCGGCTTACCAAACCAAACGTGTATAGAAAATTTCGGTTCGATTTTGGTTTTATGTTAACCGAAATTTATGTTTAGTTTTTGTTTGGCGTTTTTTTGTTTGGTTATCAAACCGTAACTAGTACAATTGTCTATTGGAGTTTCTCTACAATTGTAAGCATAAAGTGATTCTCATAAATCAAAATTTTAATACCTAATTATGATTGACCTATTGTATGACTTACACTATAAACTCTTGAATAAGTGTTTCTTTTTTATGCTTGATTGCGAATAGAAATCAATTAACCATATTAAGAGGGAAAAGTTGATTATACCAACCAAGTTTGTTCCAAATAAGAGCATTCATTTTTACATTTGAGCTTTGGTGCTAATATTGTTTGTATTTGTTTATCTTCTTATAATAAACATTTGTAGTTTCTATACATATGGTAGTTGTTTAAGAGTTTACTATAGTTTTCTATTTTGAGCAATTTCACTACAGATCATTTTTTGGTCACTAAAGCATTGTTCTCATTTGATGCCTTTGTATTTATTTTAAGGAATACTTTAGATGCGGTCCTCAGTCCCTAATACTCTTTGACTAAAACCTTAATGGTATTCAAAGTTTGATCAAAGTCCCTTGACTTTGTACACCTCATTATATTACTATTAATATTTATATTTTTATAGTTTTGACATTAATTGTTTGATATTTTATTATGAGATTTATAATCCTATAAATTTAAAATCCCTCATTCTAATACTATTAGAAACGGTTACAATAAAAAAAATTCAAACATTTTAATTGAATAAATGGATAAAAACTATGTAACAATAAGAAATAATAAATGGCAAAAGAATGTATCCATAGTGTTAAAATAATTGGTACATTTCACATATAACAAAGTGGTACATTAATAAAGAAGAATTGGTATATTATAAATAAATTAGGGTACAAATAAAAGATTAAAAAATTATAAGTACAAATGAAATTTTAAAAAATATGGGCGCAAAAAGAAATTAATATATGAGTACAAATTAAAACTAAAAAGAAAATACTACAAATTAAAAAAAAAGTTGAAAAATTAAAAGTGGGTACAGAGTAAAAATAAAAATAAATGATACAAAGTTTAGCCATAAAACATAAATATACCATATGTAATTTTTCTATCATTGATTAATTATGCAATGTCACGTGACGGTAAATACATGGGCAAAAATACAAATAAAACTTTAAAAAATATGGGCACAAAAAGAAATTAATATATGGTACAAATTAAAACTAAAAAGAAAATTGGTACAAATTAAAAAAAGGTTGCAAATTAAAAATGAGTACAAACTCATGTACATATAAGTTAATTTCATAACAACCATTGGTTTATTTCTCTGATTGACACATTCTTTGAAATCAAACAAGATTTTCATTTCATAACAATCACTGGATTGGATTATCTAATCACAATTTAGTTATGTTATTTGTTTATATTTTCAGTTAAGGTCTCTAAACTACCAATGTTAAATTTCATCCAATTTTTTTATGAATTTTTCATTCTAGAATATTAAACATGAAGCACAACATTTTTTTTTCTAATTAATAACACAAAAAATAGTCGTTTGTATATGTTTTCTTAATCAAACAAACAATTGAAAATAAACTCTTAAAATCCTAAACGATTGAAAAATAAACCTTTAAAATCATGTTTTGGAATAAAAAATGGGGCTCACCCATTTCTAAACTAAAAAATCAAAAACAAAAACCAAGACTGAACCCTCAATTTGGTGTGGTCCCCCTACTTTTGGGGGCTAGATATAGCCTAACTTCTTGCTACCCAAGGATTGAACTTGCTAACCCTTGTGGTGGATGTAGCCTCATTTTTCAGGCCATTGGGGATGAAATTTTTCATTAGAGCTACAAATGTGGTAGTCTCAAGGAGGATAAAGCCCCCATTGGGGATTAATTTGATACGAAACAATATTAAAATAATACGTTTCAGGTCAACCTGTCAATGAGTTGGGTTGTTAGCAGGTCAACTTGTGAACGAGTCGGGTTATTAATGGGTCACTCGTTAAGATAACTTGTTTGACACAAAACGACTCATTTGACAGGTTTAGACATTAGACATGACACTTTTTTGCATGACCCACTAACTCAATGAAACGACACAAATAACATAGGTTTTGAGTCAACCTATTAACTAGTCGGGTTGTTATCGGGGGTTATCTGTTTAGATTCATTAAGATAACATGTTTGACACAACATAATCTGTTAAGATAATAAATATGACATAAAAGCGACACGACACACACAACCAGATTGCCAGGTATGTACATGTTTAAGTATAACAAGTGAAAATTTATTAAGACGTCAACAACTCATTTGGAACCAAAATTGGCGTTGACAGTTTTTCCATCACTCCCCTAAACGTGTACATACTAATCTAGATTTATGCAGTTAGAGAATAGTAATCGAGTCGTATCGTGTAGTGTTTTGCTTTGACAGATATGGCATGCGAGGAAATTTAGGACTTGAACAACAAAACTCAAAAACTAACCAAAAAAGTAAAACACGAAAAAAAAAAAGAAAAAGAAAAAAAAAAAGGGTGAAACATGCACCTACGCATTAAGCCCCATTGAAGTTGACAGTACCACCACGATCATTTGGCAAATTAAAATGGGGAATGATTGTGCAGAAGAATAAAAATAGGGAAATAAGTATGTGTAAGATTTTCCCTTTTTGCATGGTAAAGTTTTTATTTTTTTTATTTTTTTAGTTCAAGTACGATGTACACTAAAAAAGAAGGAATGTATACAAACAATGAGGATAGGGTGCCAACAATTGGTTTCGATAAAAATCTTATAGGAATTTCAACTCAGACGAAGAAAAAAAGAACGTCCAACACCAAACAAATTAATTAGTACCGATATCCTCAAAAAGAATATAAAAAATTACACGAGAAAGTTCTTCAAACCATGTTACTTAGATTATCCAAAGTTAAGCTCAGTCTGTGTATTCCTTATCTTCCATTCATATTTCAATACCTCATTTAATTTAATCTTGCAATATAAACCTATATGAGAATGTTAAATCTTTAATATTTTTCGCGAAAATGAGAAAATTAAGTATAATCAGCAAGACACTTTTTCAAATTGTTATATTAAAGGAAAGGTGATCCTCTTCGGATCCTCTTTGTGAGGATCCTAAGAATCCTTCAATCATATCCGTTCATCGTACATTGTGCGGCCAGTTTTCGTCAAGTACTGTTTATATTCAATTTTAAATACACAAAATTTCAATAATTTCTAACCGCATAATATATGATGAACGAACGTGATTTGAGGATATCCGGAATCCTCATAAAGAAATTCCGAAATGATCCTAATTCATATTAAAGGGTTTCGAATTGTAAACTTAGCATTGATTCCTATTCGCTTTTGTCCCCGTCATTAGCGTATAGGTACGTGGATGGAAAAATAAAGACGAGTCCATTTTGGCCAGGAATAGAGAATCTCATCTTTACTTTACATACAAGTTGATCATTATTCCCACACTGGATAGCATTTCAAGAACATATTTTATTTTACTTTATCGTATAAGATCTTTTAAGTTTGTGTTCGTCTAGGTATTCTTTTCTTGGACTTTAAAACTACTCATGATTTGCAATTACCATTCCCCAGGCCTTAAACCTTAACTTTAGAATCAAAAATCGAAAAAGGAGCCAATACTGTCATCGACGTTTGGCCACTTTACTCAACCCTAAACTGTATGATGTGATAGGCATATCTAATTTAAATTAGGAATCGTACTCAATTTCTCGATCATTTACCAAATGTCAGTTTGAAATTGCCATGCTTTTTAAAAAAAAAATTATTTTTACCATGCTTTAAGAATATTCAGTTGCTAAATAAAACAGTTTAAAGTATATATGGCCTCCTACAGCTCGTCCTTTTGTTCATCAAATTAGTTGGACAAATAAAACTTAATTTCTTGCACATGTTAATTATATGTTGCCACACAACAGCAAATTTGGCTGCCCAGCATCATGGTGCTAAATGTGGAACTGTTGCCTTGTGGGGGTCCGTTGTAGATTCCTGTGAGTTGTCTTTAGTTGGTCGGATTCTTCAGCGGCACACGAACGGCCTTACTACAGTGGCAGAGAGTCGTCCAGCCTTCGTGCTAAGTCACCCAACTTGGTCGGATTCTTCAGCGGCACACGAACGGCCTTACTACAGTGGCAGAGAGTCGTCCAGCCTTCGTGCTAAGTCACGAAGAGCGGCGACATGGGGCCACGCTAGGGTCTCCGTTCACCAGTCCATGTCCAGGTATATATGGTGTTTCGTTTGTCTTGATTTCAGAATTTACAGTCATTGTATCCTTTCTTGAGAGACTAAACAATGAACTTTTAAAAACATTCAGAGATTACGAGCGTACGAGAAAATCAATGTGGGGGAAATTCTAGAAGGAATTGCAAGACCCTTCTTAGAGAATTAAATCTGGCTCTCAATGACCAAAGCCACGTGTAGGAGTGGGAGGAAGTTTGGCCAATGATCTCCGATATGTGAGTTAGTTTCTTTGAAAAGAGAGTTTATGATTAATTGTGAAGCAAAAGCTTACCAAAGGGACTTATTGGAGTTAGGCCAACCATGAAGGAGAGAGATTTCACCATGTGTCGTCATTCGTTGGATGGAGTAGGAAAAAATTATCCCAAGCATATTATTGAATAAATAATCTCTTGAAATTATCTTGTGAAATCCCTGGATTTGATTGTAATTCATTGCTTGATTGAGTTGGTCTTCAATTAGGAAAGTATAAAAACAGGATTTGGGTATTACTCCTATCTTAGGCCTTCTTGAGAGTTGAACTGCACGTAGAACAAATGTGGCATCCCCTATTTAATGAGGCATTCTTGTCACTTATGAGTAAAAGTTCACGTGATGGCTTCAAGAGACAAATTTGTGCATGAAATTAAAATATTTTAAAGATATTGTATGAAGTTGTAACTACACTAAAAACTTGAGAAGGTAAAATATAATCTACCAAAAAATAAAATATAATCATACTAATTTGGAGTGTTATTAATTTAGGTTGTTGATGGCAACTGACTAGTACATAGATATGTATCACATGATGGCATGATGGGATCGTATTAAACAAGTTAAGAGCGTGTGAAAACTACCCTTAAAACTTCTTGTACCGTGTGTGTGCTACTGCTATCCTTCATAGGTCGTGGTTTGTATAAGTTTATCATACGATTGTCGGTCTCAAATTCTCAAATTTGGATAAAAAGAAGGAAGATTGCGTTAGGTGGTCGACATTTACCTGCGTCTGTTTACCTGTTCAGAGGCGCAATGAAGAATGTTTGCTTTCTTAACACCAATTCAACGCCGGCCGATACAAGAAGAGGTGATTTATGCTACAAATCAGTCGTAGGCACGACTAGAATTATTTTTTTGGACAAACTATTAAAACGTAAACGTTCCCAACATCTTGACTTGACTACGTAAATGTATTATCAAATTATTAAAATACTAAATTTACACAACACACAAAAATGTAGGGAATTGTTATTAGCACTCCGAAAATCTCATTCTATACTCCAAACTTTCTATTTTAGGAAAGAAAAATACACTTGTGAGGAGTGTATAATGAAATTTTTAGAATACCAATAACTCTTCCCTAAATGTATTATCACATTATTTGAAGTGCAAATAATAAAATGAATATGAGTGGTGCAAGTTGTAGAGTAAATCAATTTGTGGCATACATTAACGAATAAAACAATTAACATACTTGCTAAATAAGATATATATTCTTTCGTCTTTAATTCTTCCAATGAAACGTTATTGAATAAGTGGTTCACTTCTTAAATAGAGGGCAAAAATGTTTTGAACAAAGATCGCGAAAGAATTTAACTAGGACCACTTAAAAAGAAAATTGAAAGTTCCAAACAAGTACGCGTTGGCCTTTTCAAGCCAGCTTTTTCTCACTACAGTCTTGAAGACTATCGGGAATCGGACCCAAATTTCCAAATGTACGAAATTCGAAAGGCAAGTTCCAACCCTACCTTTTCAAAGTCTCTTCAAATTTTAATTATTTTCTAAGAAAAATGTCAACTGTAATTATTGTTTGAAAGCAAGGGAAAATTGTGGCAGTTTCAGAAACCTCTGTTCTTTCCACGGCCAAGCCCAAAGTCTTTGTTCATAGCTTCTGGGGTAATGAAGTTTTGTGGGTTAAGAAGCAAACTTGGGTTTGTGGGTTTTCGTTTTCGATGCTTGATAATATCTGGAAGGGCCTAAAGTTCAGTACTTGATCCTGCCAGAGCTGATGTTCTTGAGGTAGGTTTTTCGAATTTTGGTTCTTTTTTTAATCTTTTCCATGCTGTTCGGTTGCTGAGAAAATAAAATAACTAGGAAAGAAAATACAGTTGACTTTTGGAAATTTGAATTGTTATGCTTCCAAGTTTATCATCTTTTTATTCAGTTTCTTGCTTCTGTTTGTTTATGATTTATGAGAAGTTTGAGGTACTAATTTGATGTGATTCTGGGATTTTTGGCCATTGTTGTTTCCAGAGGCATTAGGTTTGAGGACAGTGATGGATTTGAGGAGAGGTAGAGGAAAAGAGAGAGTTTTCGGAGATAGAAAGGTTAATTCGATTGGTGGTAGTTCATCAAGAACAGATAACAAAGAGGTTATGGTTGATAATTATGGTAATAATGTTAGGGAAAGGGTTAATGGTTTAAGGTTTGAGCAAAGAGGTGCGGCTATAGAAACTGAGTTTGTTGAAAAATACAGTCGAATTTCGCAGTTCCCAATAGATAATTGGATGTCTGGAGATGAGATTGAAACGAACATGAGTAGCTCTATGTCTGTAAATTCAAGTGTAGGAGATGTTTCAGCCCACTTACAGAATTTTGCTGGGTCAGTGAGAGCAAAAGGAAGTATGGACCAGTTTCGGGGTGTAGAAAGAGATCGTTTTGATGGGTTTTACGCGAGCTCCAGGGTCGGGGTTCAGCGTGGAAGAATCCCAACTTCTGCTTATCTTGACGAGAGGCCATCAAACTATAAGGTAGATTCTTTTGATGGTATGAGTGAAGTTGCAAATTTGGAACAGGATCGAGCGGAGCTTCTAAGGAAGTTGGATGAGCTGAAGCAGAAACTGAGCGGATCTTATGATGTGGTAGATAAACCATGGGAACCGGTTCCTAGGGAGAGGAGTAGGACCCCGCCTGATCCTTATGGTGACCGGTTAACTTATAATCTTTCCATGCAGCCTTACGCTGTGGACGAGCAGATGACAAGGCCCCCTTACTTAAACTATAGCCATGGACATGTTCCTTTTATGGGTTATCATAACATGGATACGCCAAACTTCTATCCTCCTCAAAGGCATCCCTTGAATGCAATTCCTGAATATGAGGGTCCATCTCAGCAACAAATGAAATGGAGGCCTCCTCCTCATCTACACCAGTACCCAAGACCACAATCTCATGAGTACTTTATGGGGCAGCGCATGGAATTCAGTTCAAATCCACATGATAACACTTCTCACTCGCCTGCTTGCTCTTGTTTAGGATGCTACAACCAGAATCCGGTAGCTTCACCCCAAGTCTCGCTTGATGATTTTGGGAATCAAAGGGTTCCAAAAGCTCCAGTTAGTTTGAATACCTACCAACAAGTCAAGCCACATGATTATAATCCCCGACATGCTAGTCCTCCTCCATTGCACACAAGATGGCAAAGCGACTTTGATTCAGAACCAAGAAGCACGATGGCAGTTAATAGGCGTGGACAAATCTTCCATCCTGTAGCAGGAGGTGCCCCATTCATCACTTGCTTTAGTTGCTTTGAAGTACTGAAGCTTCCTAGAAAACTTAAGAATACCAATAATAATCAGTCAAAACTGCGGTGTGGTTCCTGTTCAACTGTTATCTCACTTGAAATCAAGAGTAAAAAGCTCATTACTTCTGCTCCTAAAGATTCCAAGCAACAATCTTTTGAGGTTGATCAAAGTTCTAACGAGGCATTAAAAGACAGCATTTCAAGTCCTCATGGTAGTCTGAATGCAGGTGACACCAGATCCTGCTGTGATGATTTAGATCATTCTGATCATTACTTGCCATCCATAGAAACCAAAGACAATTTACTGACAGAAGCATTAAAAGGCAGCATTTCAAGTCTTCATGGTAGTCCGAATGCAGGTGACATCGAATCCCGCTGTGATGATTTAGATCATTCTGATCATAACTTGCCATCCATAGAAACCAAAGACAATTTACTGACAGAAGATCAGACGCTGAACGTGGAGGAATCTGATAAGAGGCAAGGTCTTACTTCAACATCTTCCATCTCTTCCAAGAAGGAGGAGGAGGAGGAGGAGGAGGAGATGGAGATATCAGAATGTGTAATCGCAAATAGAGATGTTCCTGACTCTGCTGAGTTGCCAAAAAAAGACTCATTTTCTCCAAAGCGTCCAGGTTTGCCTCTTTGGGAGCAGTCTGATAGTCCTAAACGTACAGTAAGCGGAGATGAGAAGGGAAATGATTGTGACTGCAAGAACCAAGACAAGGCACTCTTTAGAAAGATCACTTCTCCACAGAATTCTGTGAAAGATAGTTCGGTGGAAACTGACATAGATGTTTCTTACAATGAATATCTCAATACCAACATTTCTCAGGACTCCGCAGAGGGAAGAAAAGAACAAGATCACCCCAAAATTGGCAAGGGTGCTGATTCCTTCTTGGTGGGTCTCATCAAAAAGAGCTTTAAAGATTTCTCAAAATCTAATCAAGCTGTGGAGAAAACAAGGCCTACTGTTTTTATTAATGGGCAACCTATACCGGATCATGTCGTTAAGAAAGCTGAAAAGCTCGCTGGCCCGATTCAACCTGGAGATTATTGGTAAGTCTGCGTGTTGCCTCCCAAGTTAAGTGTATGACATATCTAAATTCCTTTAGCTGAAAGACTAACTTGTTTCGTGTCTGCATTTTTAACTAGGTATGACTTCAGAGCTGGATTCTGGGGTGTGATGGGCCAAACTTGCCTTGGCATAATTCCTGTGAGAACAATGAAATTTTGATTTGCAAATTTCCTTGTACTTGGTTCATGTGGAATTATAAATAAAGCATTCATGTTGTCTTGCAGCCTTTTATTGAAGAATTCTATTACCCCATTCCAACAAGTTGTGCTGCTGGCAATACCCGTGTCTACGTAAATGGGAGAGAGCTACATCAGAGAGATTTGGACCTACTTGCAAGCAGAGGACTACCAACTACAAGAGATAAATTTTATATCGTCGAAATGTCTGGGAGAGTTGTGGATGAGGACTCAGGGAAAGAGTTAAAAAGCCTTGGCAAACTTGCCCCCTCGTAAGTCCTTGTTCATATTTAAGTTTGATTACAGTCGCATGTTGATTACCGTCTTCTTTTTAAGATTCCAACGTAAAGAAAAATGCACAACTGATATCAAAAACCATTTGGCTTGATCCTTACTTGGCTATTGCCCTGTGTCTGCGAGTGTAAACTAAGATTACTGTCATTTTGTTGCTTTGCATTTATTAATTGCTTTTCTTTTACTATAACCACCATTTGCTAATATATCAACCTTCATAAGTAAAGATGTTTTTGTATCAGCTTGCCTGTTTTATTTTCATTTAGTTATCTGTATTCTTATTGATTCATTCATGACCCTTGACGTTTTATTGGACAGAGTTGAGAAGGCAAAGCGGGGATTCGGCATGAAAGTCCCCAGAATGGTTGTGTGAATATTCACTTTTTTGGCTTCGATTTCCTGATTTAAATTTCGTGTGTTGTTGATACTTTAAAGATGATAGTGACAGGTCAATCACCAATTGCATTATTGGCGTGTTCTTAGATCCTAGGTGTTTGTTAGTTCATACGTTTGTATCTCTGCGAGTGTAGGTGACTTGTTCAATTATGTTGTAGGCATTTTGAAATTGATGCAGCAATTGTCCCTTTTTTTTTTTATCTTGTTGTATTTGTACAATACAATTCTTCTGTACTAGCGACGTGCTTGTCCGTACATTCGGATTTCGCGTTATCGAGCCTCGTTGTCCCGGCGAGATTTCTGCTACGTTATACATTGAAAGGTACAGAACATATTGCACTTATGTAAACCAGGTTTTGTCAAGCCTCAACCAAGTAGGTTTCAACTTTTCATCTTAAATAAGTGTCTGATATGCGTACTGGTTTCTGATTCTGTCAAAGTAAGGGTGGTTTTTTTTCTATAAAATAAAAAAAATAAATATTTGAGGAGGGAAATTTTGGATCTGATTGAAATGGAATCCTACCTTCTAGTGAGTATTTGCAATCTAATGCCCATGACAAGCCAAGGTCTCGCTATGATATGCCAATGATGTTGTGACAAGTCAACGACATATCTATGGCATGCCAATCCTCACAAGTTGTCGATAGAAAGCATGTCATTGACATGCAATAGACTATCCTATTCTCGCTCCATATCAATAACGAGGCTCGTCATAGAGAAAGTCTTAGGTCCAAAAGTTAGTCCATCTCATTCGTCCGGAGACTAAAAAAAATCTCACATTGCACACCACTCCTGATTTGAGGCCTATCATTATTTCATGTTTTGACTCCACCCCTCTCACACCCTTCAAATTAGAGGTGGAGTACCCAAAAACCTCTACTCGTCATGACATTCTTACCTAATTAGTTTTATTGGAGTCAACCAAATAATAAATATATCTTAATCAAGCTTGTATTACCCAATTAGTTGATCAAGTGAGCCTTAAATTGGATCAAAGAGTTGGTGGAGTGGTGCTTTCAAATACATGATTTTTGAAGATTTAATGATATTAGACAACAATTCAACATCAGAATACCAAACATCTCTACGTTTCGAAATACAAAAACAGCAATTAACACTCACACATTCTATTGTAAATCATCCGAGTTGTATTTGAGACGGTTAGTCTTTGAACTATTGATGTATAAATAACAAATTGACGATCGATTGGCTATTTTTTATTATAAAAATATTAAAATTGTTGCAGTTCTATTAGATTAGGAATGTGATTGTGTAAATCCTTGTAGATATAAGAATGTATCTTATATTCCTATTAGGAGTAGATTACCTATTAAATGTTGTAATCCTAAAAGAAAATGTTTTACGTATCCTACTATTATAAATAGAGGTATAATGGGGTGGAATAGAACACACCCATAATTACACATCTCTCTCTTCTCTCTACTATTACTGCACCTTTCTCTCTCTCTATGGCCTCCATAATTGTTCAGTAAATTATGCCTACAACACGTTATTAGCATGCTCTTGACACTACGCTAAAGAGAGTTTCTTCTTCAATCAGGGAGTATTACGTTTTAATCATTCTTTTTATGATTAATTTACTATTTTATTAAATTGATCCACATGCTATTGATTCAATTTAATTTTTCTGTGTTGAACGTGATACAACACATTGGAGATACAATTCTAGCTTTCCGAGAAGGATCTTCTACAAATTCAAAGGTTTTTGTCCTTTTCTGCTAATCAGGTATGCTTGAAATAAAAGAAGATATTTGAAAAGTCCACGAAGCATGAAAACATTCCCCCATGATGCATGAATCCCCCTATGTTTACATTTTCCTTCCAATATATATATTGTATATGTTCATATATTTTTCAATATATATATATATATATATTTGTTTCATGCATCGCACAATTAAATTGTTATATGGAATTTGTGAGTCAAATTATATAAAATAAATTAGAAGTATATTTAGGGTTTCCTCAACCCTAAGGGATTTTGAAAACTATATGGGAATTGGACATGGTGCGGCACACCATCGCACCATCACTGTGCACACAGACACCAAGCTTCGGCTTGGGGAAAATATGGTGGGCCTACATCCCTTCTCTCGTTTGCACTACGGCCTGCAGCCATCCAACCCAGCCCAGATTGACTAGGATCTATTCCCTGCGCGTTGTAACCTTTAAGGTTACTAGGTTTTGTGTTGCCAGGCCTGCAGCCTGCTCCTCGGCCCACAACAAACTGACGCCAGCCATGTGGCTGGGCTTCTTTCACCAAGGACCACGACCCTAGGGTCTCCTTGTGTGCTAACCCACAAGCCAGCTGGGCTTGTCCCCGTGACACCCCACCCAGGCCCGTGGCCTGCAGCCACCATGAGACTGTTTTCCTGCAGCCAACCCGAGCTTTTTGCTCACGGCACTAAGCCCAAATTATTTTGGGGCTATATTTTTCGACCAATAATATTATTTTGCTTCTACAATCGACCGGTATGGCCCGATTTATTGAATTAATTAAAAGTGACTTGCAGTCCATTAATCTGATAGTGAATCCAAAATTATTGACCTGAAGATCACTTTTGGACATTAACGATTCAATAATATATTTTTATACTTTGAACCATCACATACTTTCATAGTAATGAAGCTCTCACACTTGAGTTCCTGAAGAAACTCAAAACCACTATACTTAAATCAGCATATTGCATTCTGTGTTTCTTATAGGAAACTTTCATTATGAATAAGTGTTCATAAAACTAAATTGAACATGTCGTTTCAAATTTAGTGCCTTTGAAACCCAAAGTTTTCATGAAAACCATGTCTTAGCACTCGAATGTTCTAACTTTGATGCTTATGGTTGATTCATTCCCATAGCACTAATCACAATCTAGTTCCCTCCAATTCAGTGGATTGTCGAACTGCAACAAGTTCGATTTTCCTGATTTGGACGTTTCTAATAGAAACCACTTTATGTGGGGTATAAGACATGAATCTCCACTTGACTATCAAGAAGTTGAGAAACCATTGAAGCCAACAATGGCAAGTAAGAGCTGAATAAGCCTCCACCATGATATTCATTCGAAGATTTATGCCCGAAGCATTATCAATGGAAATGCCTCCGGAACGAGGATCCCATGGCTTTTTGGCTCGCTCATACGGACCGTGTGATCATGCGACATATTGCCCAAAGCACACCATGATTACGTCCATGAATGAGTACAATTCTGAAGTTTATAAATCTGATCGAATTTTGACTAGAGAATATTTTTCTCGTCCTTCCATGTTTCTAACTCGCCTCTGAAGTAGCAGTGTAGAAAGTAGAAGTTTACCAGATTCTCAGATTTGATTACTACCACAAACATATGATAGAATCAGGGTCTGCCAAGGTGTGGCATCATGCCTGAAGCGTGATCCTTGGCACCTAAAACCTAAAACCTAAAACTTCAAGAATAAGGGATAATATTCTCGAACCTTAACCCTACAGAATCTTCTTCCGTCTTGATGGAATAGATCATTGGTTATGCACCTGTTCGTGCTCCTACCAATGTTAAGGAGTACCATTCTAGTAGTCAATATGTGAGACTAATTTTTACTCCACCAAACACCATTCGAATAGCATAATTTTGGCATGGATGGCCTTATTGGCCGAATCCACCATGGTAACCTTGGTTTACTTTGAAAACATTTTTCCATGTTCTTGGATTCAAGCTTGGTGTATGTTTTACTTATGGATAATCTTATTGATATTGTCCTCGAATATAAGTTAATTGAATCATGTTTCTTAATACATGTGACCGATTCAATTAAACACGTGATTAGGTTGGAATGTGGGAAAGTTAGTTGTCTGGATGAATGCGTACTACGCACACTAACTTTACACCTAAATCATATCTCTAACAACGACTTTAGGTGTATCCAACCTGATTAAGAGCATTTGGCACGCTCCTCGCTGTATGGTATTGAATTACCATTTAAGGGACCTTAAATTCTCCTTGACGTTGAGTTTTTAAGAATATTCGAGGTGACAATGATCATAAATGAAACCATTGAAGAAAATAGAGTGAAATATCTTTGCACCACCTCCAAAAATGAGCACGAAGCTTTGATTTAAGGCCAATGAGTTGTCTCCCAACTGAGAATACACCACATGTGGCTGGCCTAGAGCCTGATGATTGAGCAATTTACTTGCTTTGACACGACCTTTTAGGACAATTAGATCGAATAATGATGCTACAATGCATCTCCTTATCTGAAGTAATGATGCTACAATGCATCTCCTTATTTGAAGTAAGGATATTGTGCCTACAAGCACATTTTGCCAAGCATGCTCATTAGGGAAATTGATGTTTTATATCATTCATTGCAAAGATGCGACACGACTCTCTTTTCACAGTGGATTCAAGGGAATATATGTGGACTAATCCAACCAAAATGCGGACCATATAAATACTTAGGGTTTTGGTTGATGAATCGACAAACTGGTCACATGTTTGTCCACACACAATGCTGCTAAACCTCATGGCCGATTTTGGGTTCACCATCCTACTTATCCCTTAAGGTCCATGAGACTGGATAATGTCGGAGAGTTTATATCGAAGGTTTTCGATAAAGTATTGCATGTCATTTTGGGTTTCTAATTTGAACATCGAATTCCCATGTTCACCCCAAATAGACTCGCCTAGTGATGATAAAGCGCAATTTAAATGATCACCCGAATTTTGGTAAACGTACCAAGTTTTCGGTTTTTGCCTAGGGCTATGCAATCCTTGTATGCAGTTATGTTGGTCCGTCTTAAGGCTCATTGTCACCCAATCTATATGACGTTACAGTTGGTTACTGGGTACGAACTTGACGATTTTCGTATTTACGCATTTGGGTGAGCATTCCATGTGTCAAGTTGCGTCGCCGCAACGTACCACCATGGGTCTTCAAAGAAGGATGTGTATCTTTTGTCAATCATGATTCTCCTTCACACTAGCTCTTTTCGAGCCCTTGCATACGATCTCTTTACCGTTCATTTGCGGGTTGTCACTTTAATAGACAGTTTTCCCATCGTTAGGGGGAGATAAGAGCGTCAACATTCCTGTAGAACGGTGCGAAGTTGTGTGGACATTGCCCATTATATCTCATCTCGATCCCCATACCGCAAAAGTGTGATAAGCAAGTGTGATGAATTCTAGTTTTCAGAGCGTTGCTCTAGACGCATTCCTTTGATCTAGCTAAAGTGACGAGATCATATATCAGCTACAAACATGTCTGCAATGATAAACGTAC